GGCTGCCCCTTGCCTGGGGCTGGCGCTGGCCAGCAGTTAAATGCCCGTGCGGCCACGCCAGGGCACACAGCCCAGGGCATCCCAACACAGGCAGCCAGCTCGCCCCATCCCAAGCACCAGAGACGCCAGCTTGCACCACGCCTCAAGGTAAAGGTTTGAGTTTCTTTGGGTTGCTTTGGCATCATCTGGAGTGAAAATGGCAATGTTTGGGGTCAGGAGTTGTAGATTTCCTTGGAAGTTTTGGAAGAAAGCAGGAGGGACTTGTAAGCTGGGATGTAGGTGTTGCTTTGTAAGGGAAGAAATGAGGAGCACGGCTATTTGCTCCAGCGTGTTTCGGGTGCAGGGCGATGTACAGTGCGGTTAGCGTGCCCCGTGGGAATGCGGTGCTGGGCTGCTTAAGGGACTTGGAAAGTGAGAGCAGAGCTGGACAAAAGCCCCTTCTCTACTTCACCCACCTGTGCTGGCAGCAGTGCTGCTGGGCTGCTGGACCGACCCAGCGGCCACTGAGGACGCAGCTCTCTGTGGGGTTATCTTACCAGGGCAGCGGGAGGTTTTACAGGGACCACACTGGGTGGGAGGCTCGGCTCTGCAGCCCACGGTCTCACCGCACTGCCCATCTGCGGTGCCAGCTCCCGTCATGGCCACCAAGCTCAGCTGGGTGGTGGGTGACATTATGGTGGGAACAGGGAATTCGGAGGAGCTTTCCTGCTCTTTAACAATGCTTAGATACAAAATCTGCAAGAGCACGGCCAGGTATTTCAAATCCCAAACTAAAGGGAAGTTCCTGCACAGGAGATGCCGGGAGGTGGCATGAGGACAAATCCTTGGCTTGTTTGATGACATGCCAGGCTGAGCACCACATGCCAGGATGACAAGGCTGTATCAGTTGGAAGGGCTTTGTGGGGCCAAGTTACAGCCAGGGGCCTGCACAAATGCTTTGCTCTAGTGTGCAAATACTTTGCTCCCTGTTGCAGCCGCAGGGACCACAACCGACATGAGGGCTGCATTCCTGGTGCTGCTCCTGTGGGCCGTAGCCTGTGCTCACCCCGTAAGTACCCACTGCACAGATACTCAAACCCCAAAGCCCGGTGGTTTTGCCCAGCCAAGGTGCACCGATCACTGATCAGATGTCTCCTGGATGTGTTTAGGTGCCCGGCCCCGAGCCCACCCACCCCCGCCGCAGTGCCCAGCAGGAGGTAAGCCAGGGTGCCCAGAGCCATAGGTGGTGGCTGCTCACAGAGCAAGTCTGGGATGAGGAGCCAGCCCCAGGCAGGCATCCTTGGACCAGGCACCTGGAGGAAGAGCTGCCGCTTCTGCGGGTCTTTGAGCTTTGCCTGTCTACTCAGTCTTCTCAAGCTGGGTTGGTTTCACCTCATTTTGCCTTGCCTCCCTGCGCACGTTCCCAATTCACTTGGTGCGTTCTGCCATGTTGGTCCTGAAGAAGCAGTTTCTGTGCTCTGAACCGTCACGGTTTGAGCTTTCCTGGATTGCCCTTTTGTTGGTGGCTACTTTTTATTCTGCATCAACAGAAACAGCTGAAGGTGTGAGCAATGACAAAGACTTCAACACTTGCATGGCTTGGGGGCGATAGATCATCCTGCAGCAGTAGCAGTAGCAGTAAACGTGCAGTGGTGTTCAGTAAACCAAAGCACTGTGTCATGTTTTGCCTCCAGGACATGGCAAGCGAAGATGACATCAACAAGCTGGGAAACATCTTGAGTGGTGGAGATGGCAGACATCCTCCTGCCAGTGTGGAGAAGGGGGACAATGCCCTTGCTGGGGAGCCAGCAGGTGGAAACGCCGTGGGCGAGGAGCTGGCCGAACATCGTAGCCGAGACAAGGGAGGCAGAGCTGGGGAGGCTGAGCACCTGAACCGGGTGGACCACGAGAACGCGAGTGCCCGGGATGGTAACAGCCTCGGTTTCCTGGTGAGTAAGTGGAGAGGGGTGTTTTGCTCTGCGAGGAAAGTGCACTTCACCCCAGATCTGGTGTCGGTCAGGGTAGCGCTTGGCCCACACTATGAGCAGCGCGATAGCGCCCATGACCTGCAAGCCTTTGCGTTCATCTCTGTTTGTCACCTCTATAGGAGGAGGATGCACGCGATGCTGATGATGGTGACAACGGAGAGTACCGTGGCACTGGAGTCAATGGGCTTCCCTCCCATGCTGGCGAGCTCCTGGATGAGGAGGATGACAGTGGGGATGACACCTTTGATGAGAATGGGAAAGAGGAGGGGGTTGAAGGTCCTACTTATGTGGCTGGTGCCGATGGGGCAGGCGAACACAGGCACGACCCTGGCCGTGGGGATGCCGGGGCTGGCAGAGGGCACGGCGACAGCAGCAGCAGTAGCAGCAGTGAGAGCATCGGGATGGACCACTGGAGCCGGTATGAGCGGACCTCGAGGCGGGGAGCAGGCAGCAGCAGCAGCCAGGAGGAGGAGGAAGAGAGCTATGACTTCGAGGATGAAGCCATGCAGGGCGATGACCCCTCTGTCTTTGATGGCCTGGGCAGCAGCTACAAGGAGCGCCGTGCTGGCCTCCATGCCCTGGGAAGCAGCCGAGAGAGCGGCCGGTGGGCTGGCTCCCAGCGCTGGGAGGAGGGCGACAGCAGGTCCCCAGAGGCGGAGGATGCTGACTCAGCAGAAGACAGCCCATCCACGGAAGACAACAGTCAATCCGAAGAGCCTGTCACCAGCCAGTCAGAAGAAAACAGCTCCAGCCGCTCCGAGGAGGACAGGGATGGAGAGGACAGCCCTTCCAGGGAGAGTGAGGGCAGCAAGTCCAGGGAGGGCACTGCCGATCAGTCAGATGAAGAGCCAGGGGAGTCCCCAGAGGACATCTCTCAGGAGGTAGTGAGCACGTCGAGTGAGCGCAGTGGCAGCAGGTCCCAGGAAGGACAGGAGGACCATGAGTCTGCCGAGGACAGGAGCGTGCTGTCCACGCCTGACAGTGAGTCCGGGGAAGATAAGGGCGACCAGAGCAAGTCCAGGGAAGATGATGGTGACCAGAGCCAGTCCACAGAAGACACTGTGGAGGAGTCAAAGGAGGACGAGAATGACTCTGAGCCTGATGGGGATGTGCCGAGCACATCAGCCGAGAGCCAGAGCTCATCGCCAGAGGACGACGGCAGCCCAGAGAACAATGCAGGCGAAGACAGCATGTCCACAGAGAGCGACAATAGCGAGTCCCAGGAGGACGACGATGATGATGAGAGCCACTCCCAGGAGGACGCCACTCGTGAGTCCAGCAGCCGTGGGGATGACAGCTCGCTGCAGAG